TACCGTATGGCTCAAAGACGGACAATGTACAAATTGACCCACTATACAACTTCGAACAATATGACAAGGAACTTAAATTCAGACTACAGAATACAAATACAATAGCCAGACAAAATCTTATCTCCAACAAAATAAAACGACAGACAATATCAAATAACAATATAAATCCAATTTGTTTACATATTGGAGAATCAGTATATATCAAGAACGAGAATCGGAAGAAGCTGGATCCATTCTATATAGGGCCATATATAATTGAAACAGTTGAAGATCCTAATTGCACTATTAGACACCCAATAACAAACAAGAAAACATTAGTGCATAAAAATAGAGTAATAAAAAGTGTTTAAAAAGCGAAAATAAAAACGAACCAAGAGAAAATTACAAAAAAAAAATTGTGAACCCAAGTCGAGAGGCGGAATATTTAAATAAACTTTCGAAATGGTTACACCATTTTCTTTTAGGGGGGAGGTGTAGCATCCGAGCTACTCTCTATATTTTAGAAGGTCTTACACTGTCCTTTATAATCAGCAGTTAAGCCATAAACTGTAACCGTTGGGTTTTGCAGACTTTCCAAAACATCTGGAAAACCCAGCCGTAAACAATCATTGGCCATTATCACCCTGACAATGCATTTAGCATTGTCAGGTAAACAACCCCTGTCCTTCGTTAGAATGCGGCGCAATGATTCACCTTAGCGCACGCCCATGTTTATGTTTGGACTTTCTTCTCTACGCCTTCTCCACTCGGGTCAGTAGGTAAAATGTAAACGTAGTATTTAAGTAAGAGGAATACAATAAATCACAAGCATTAACACTGTAGACACTGAAGGCACGCGTATGCGCTGCTAGTTTTTCTTTCCGACGCCGAAATCTCAACGGAACATATTTGACATATTTGAATTTAAAGTATTATTATTTCCCAACATTCCATCATTTGACGGTAACTAAATCCGAACAATAGGTAACGACTTACAAGTTTTCAAAAAAAAAAAAATATCATTATAGCATGACCCTTCCCCGCCCCCCCCCCTCCAAAATATGACTCCACCCTTTTTTTACCAAAAAAATTTATTATCCTTGAATAATAAGATGTATGTGACAAGTTAGAGTGGTTAAATATTTTTGGCCAGCTAGAATTAATAAATACCCCACTGTGCGACGTTACATGAATGTAAATGCTCATGCTGCCAACAAAACGTGGAACCTAGGCCTGCAAAGAGTAGATGGACGCGGAGCGGAACAGTATGGAATATCACTGGAGAAGGACGTGATGGCTATCACAACAGATGGAGCGTCGGTGATGAAAAAAGTTGGCAACGAAGTCCCCGCTACGCATCAAGTATGTTTAGCACATGGAATACACCTAGCAGTATTCGACGTTTTGTACAAGAAAGCATCTAAGCCGGCCGCCTACATGGAATTCGGAGAGAGCACAGGTAATTTAGCTTAAAATTTTAGTAGAAACATGATCCTCATTATTCAATTTATAGGTTCAGACTGTGATGACAATGATACAATTATGCCCAAATACTGTACAATGGTGAAAAAAGTACGAGATACAGTGAAGCTCTTCAGAAAATCTTCAGTGAAAAATGACGAATTACTCCAGAAAAATGTCAACGCAGACCACGGAAAAGAAATAAGTTTGCTTGCTGACAGAACAAGATGGAATAGCCTGCTGGCAATGTTGCGCCGATTCTACGACCTCCGGACTGCGGTTCAAAAATCTCTGCTCGATCTGAAAACCAAGAACAAGAACTGATAACAATCAAAGAAATTGTTGAAGCGCTGGAACCAGTTCTGGCTTCTGTTGAACTGCTGTGCCGTAAGGATTGTACGATCTATGAAGCCGATGTGGGCTTACACTTTATGCTAGAGCATCTCTTGGAACAAACTTCAAATATCGAGCAGGTCGAGTCTCTTGTTGGAAGAATTTCAGTCTACGCCGATTTGTTTGCATTTATGAGCAACCGCTCTGTCCGCGATACAATGACAAATGACTTTGGAATATTCTTCAAGACCTCGCGGACTGCTTTGATAAAGCAGTCGATTGAAATACTACATCGTTTGATTGATTTGGAAGGGAACGGAATGAATGCAGAGATCGAGCGAAGAGAGGAACTCAATCGACTAGATGATGCAGCTGATGCAGAGAACGATGGTTTGACCGTGAAGGAAACATTTGAAAGACGGTTGCAGCAGTCGAAGTTTGCAGCTTCTAGTTCTGGCTCAACGTCAACGTCAGCAAACAGTTTGACAATAGTTGTTCGACAACAGTTCGCCTACTACGATGCAGAGAGTTTGAAAGGCAAATACATGAAGATCATTTACGATGCCCTTTGCACTGTACGTGCTACATCAGTGGAGTCTGAACGAGCATTTTCGGCATCCGGAAACTTTGTCAGTAAGCTCCGTTCTCGTTTGGGAGATAGGTAATAAAATAAACGCTCTTTGCGTTCTCAAAGGTTATTTTAACGAACAGGCCAAGCTTTGAATAGTGCATTTTTTTATTCAATCGTTGACCAATAAACGCTTTTTATACAAATTATGCAGCTTTTTATTTCTTTTAGAACTTCGTCCAAAAACCGGTTTTACCGGTTTTACCGGTATTAAAATTTTCAATACCGTAAAACCGGTTTTAGAACAAATGTGCCGGTATTACCAACCCTAGAGGCTGCAACTAGGAAGAAGCTGGACAGAGCCAAACTAATACTTTCGCGGCAGGAGTTCGTGTTTTCTGACGAGAACCTCTTTGTCTTGCAAGAGCCGCACAATGTCCAAAATGATCGGCTGTGGGCGCCAACGTTGGCCAGCATCCCTCCGTCGCAAATAAACATCCCGCGATTCCAGAGCGCCGCGTCGGTGATGGTTTCGGGGGGCGTATCCAGGCGTGGGAAGCTCCCACTGGTGTTTATCGAGAAAAACGTGAAAATCAACGCCGCGTACTATAAGACCGAGGTTCTGGAGAAGGTTGTTGCCCCGGCACTTCGGGACCTCTACGGGAAGAGGATCATTACGTCTTTCAACACGACGAATATCGTCCAAGCGTGGTGTCGGGAGAATTTGACTGATTTTCTCGATAAGACTGTGTGGCCTCCCAGCTCTCCGGACCTTAATCCCCTGGACGTTCATGTATGGTCGCACATGCTGGTCAAGCAGAGCGAACATCAAGTGCGCACTGTTGACCAATTTAAGAAGCTCATTTCCAAGATCTGGGACGAGATGCCGATGGACCAGGTGCGATTCTTTTGAGAAATATGTCGTAAAGGTTCTCAATAAACATTGCTTCAATAAAAATTAACTCAGAAAAGAATATATTGTACATATTTTAATTTTTTTTAAACATATTTTAAATTGTATTCGAACTTACTGAACGTACACTACTTATTACAACATTTAAATCTAATGTAAAACTGCTTCCCAAAAATTCTAAATTCGAAATAAATGGGACCAAATGCATGAAATGCTGAACGTGTTCAATTTTCAGTCAACACATCCCAAAAATTAGAGAAAGTTCAACCTTGAAAGCACTTGACAAACAAACAAAAAACCATGCCAAATCCCAAAATCAGCTCCAATTATTGACACTCTACGCCAACCACCCACAGAGTGCCAGATCTATTCTTGAAACCGAGCACCCTGATTCGCTGCAAGCAATCAACCATCAATGGGTGGAAATTTATATCGAATGCGCAACCCTCGTCAGCCGAACAAATAAACAACCTCAAACAACGTTAAAAGAATCATCGAAATATCGACACACAAGGCCAAGGTGCGGTGTGACAAAACCGCTGCCAATTTCGGTGGCTTATTGGATTATCTGTTCGACTTGTCCGGGCATGTGCTCGTCTCCAATGGCCATATTTACGTGTATAAGCAGGTATTCAAATGGAGAGGTGGTTACGACAATGGGGGTGGCTGTTTTCTATATTTAAATCCTCGCCCTCAAAGTGACACTTGAGAGCGCTGGATCGTAGAGAACAATTGTGGGTCACGACTTGCTGATTTACCGATCTCCAAGGCTATGTAGAAACCGGAAAATCCGTCGACTCCGCTATCGATCCTGGGAGTAAATTCGATTGTGTTGGTTCACAAGACGACAGTCAGTAGTGCTTCAGTGATAGGGCACGGATGCGTTCATTCAGAAAACTCAAAAGCTCCCATCCCCCCTTTCGCATCGAAATAGGTGGAATAACAATATTCCTACTACTTTTTGCTATGGCCGCCACTGCCGTCAACGAATCCGGTGGGTGGTTATGTAATGTCACACAATTCTCGTGTATTAGAACCGATTTGACTTTCCGGGAGGAGAATGGGTTCAGGTTTGGGTGTGTGCGAGAGAGTATTGGAATGTGGGGCCCGGATGTGTGGGGATTCGAGGGGATTTTCACCACACTGTGCTTCTCTTTGGATCCAAGTTCAAAGATGGATCCGAGAACGCACACATACACCCGGTCATTGTGGGAAGTTGGTTGGATCCACCACCGAGAGCAGCACAGCGATAGCGGAGAGTGTGAGAATCTAGTGGGGAGCCCAAAGAGCAGGTGGAAAATATTGGCAAATCTGACGCCATTTTGTTTTTCATGGGGTAGAAATTTTTAAAAGAATGTCGTTTTGAAAATTTCATTAAGTTAATTACACTAATTTATCATACTGTTTGCCAATTAAGTTAGTGTTACATTACTGCCTCAGACGATTCTGACTTCTTGATGGAAAATTCTCCATTTAGTGAAATATTTTCCTATGCAACGGAGCAGGGGGCGTTTGTCTAATCGAATTACACTCCTTGCGGTGTCTTTTCTTCCTTGGGATACGACAAGGACAAAGGCAAATTGCGGCGAAAATTGAATAAAGTCTAATTACATAATTGACTCGTTGACGTTTATTGAGTTGAGCGAGGCGACCTCTTTCGTTGGCTTGAAACTCGTTTGGAAATGGGGGAAATTTTCCCAATGGATGAAACTTAAGATTGTTCAGGGGACATAAAAGGACACCTACCTGTATCGGGAATGGAAACTCCGGTCAGCCGATTGGAAAAGAATCCACGGATGTTGGTTACGACCTTTTGGGGTGAGCTGGAGGCCCCAAAGAGTGAACTGCCTAGCTTCGAGAACAGGGCGGATGATTCACCCGCGCCGTTTCCCTCGGATGACGACGCCACTGTCCCTGCCTTGTCGAGGGCTTGCCCTTACTAAGCCAAGAATAAATCCACGGGTGTCTTGGATCGTTTAACCACTTAGCACATTCACTTCCAAGTAAGTCGAAAAGGCTCCTTCGATCGATTAAGATTCGCTTTTACTTCTTTCGAGTGGGATTTTGAGATTTCACTCAAAAGCTAACACTTTTTCCAACTCACTGTTAAATTGGTTGTCTTGATTAAATTTTATTTTCACTATTTTGCCAACCATCAAATGGCACCGAACAAGACTTAGAGTAGAATGTTGCCCGTTAGAATAAATAACTCCTTATAATCGAAACTAACTAGTTATTAGATAACCGAAACTGCTTCAACTTCAACAAAAACGAAAAATCACAATTTGTAACACTTTTTTTTCCTGCTAGCCCTTTTGCTGGCTATTAGGTGGTGTGAGTGAGGAAAAAATCCTCAGTTGACGCTGCAGCCGCACGACGACGAGAGGACCGTTCGACCTGGTCGCAGCAAACGTGAAAACATTCTAGCCAGGTGCTAGGAATTCTTAAGCTCACGAACCCCCCGAAATCGCCTCACGAGAGAATCCCGCAAAGGAGAGAGCGTTATCCTTGCCAAATTCACCACCGAAACTCTCATTTCCCCATCCGGCGCCGGGCTCCGTTCGACCCTTTTCGCCCACCAGCGAGCCGGTTTGGTGCGCATGTCCGCTAATCCTTCGCCGCCTGATTGGTCCTTTTGTCAGTGACGTCACAGTATCGGCAAACCCATTAAATATAAACGACCATCAGCCAGAAGCGGCGAGAGATACGAGCACAGTTTTTCCATGTAAGCAAAATTCTTAATAAATCTTCTTCCAAGGACTTATCTGTCATCGGGCTATCTATCAATAAACCTTCCTAGACACAGTTTTTCACTTTATGATTGAATGAACTGTCTCCGTGTACCCTTTTCATCATCTCGGCAGCATCACACCGGTGGAAGGGGGCTCCCCAATGGGGCTGGCGCTGGAGTTTGAGCGACTACAAAAATGGCGCTTGTTTTTCACATACCATCACACGCTCGAACGAGAAGACAGGCACTTCCGTAATGGACGACGATTCCCTGAGGAGGAATTCCGTCTCCACCATGCTCTCGTGTGTGTTTTTGTTTCACCCATAAACAGCAACTCTCGCACATATAATTGTATCACTCAGCCAGGCAGGAAGGTCGGTTTTTGGGAAACGTTGTCTCGCCTTCTAATCCCAGCTTCCAGCTAGCCGCGCGTGGCACAGCACATGGATGGTTGGCAAAATCGGAGAAGGGGAATTGGTTGGTCGGGTCAAGAATGTCCTCCGGGAGTCATGAGTTTCAACTGAAGTGCCATCAGAGGTACGGGTTGTGTTTGGTAATCCGGATTGGAAACAGAAAAAAAATATAAGCGTGTATATAAAGTCATAAATTGAATTTGGATTTTTCTTCCTTTTGGGTCGACGGAAGAATTTATCAAGAATTAAATTGAAACTGTTTTGTGAGGCTCAGTGTTTTGGAAATCCAATTATTATGTTTTCTTTTCAGTTTTTTGATAATCCCCCGTGACATTTTATGTGGTTTTATGTATAAAATCTTTAAAGTTATACATAAATTTATTTAATATAGTGTTTCAACACATTTTTAACAGTGTTTAATAATATGATAATTTGATAACTTTAGCAACATTCTTCTTCTTGCTTATCTGAACTGAAACTTATTTGCACCCTAAATAAAGTGTTATGAGATGTTTGGCAAAGATACAGGGGCGGACAAAACAATAAGACCACCTGTAAGTTAACACGAAAATCTTCCTATAACCGTCAATTCAATAAACAGCAAAGCGAAACTACTTGGCAAGCACTTGGCCAAAACGCTTATTTTGGCATTCTGAACAAACGTTGTTTTTGTATTGCTCTGAAGTGCCTAGATCCCTCTCGGCTACAACCCTGGATTTTCGAGATTTTTAAAAATTTCAACTTTCAGAAGAGTTTACTCCACAACCAAATAAGCTATTCGTGATATTAGAACGGCAATTGAGGTTTTTTTTTTAATTAAGATTCATGTAGAACTCGATCATCAAAAATAGACCCCATTTCAGTGATTTCAAGTGGTATACCCAAGTAACATTTTAAGTTTTATGAAATACTACAAAGCAACTACAAAACAACATTCATAAAACTCTGGTCAAGGCTATTTTGTCATTAATGCATCCACCAAAACCTCATTAAGACTAGAATATGTATAGTTGGCCCACCCTGGTCCTGAAGGGTGTATTTTCAAAGCTCTTTAATATTGATTTACTGCAAAAAGTTGCATGACGAATGCATTGAGAACCATTTGAAAGCTACAACAAAAGCTATTTAGCAACAATAAAAACCCTTTCCGTGCCATTTCCCCTAGCCGCTTGCTAAATCCACTAGTAAAGCATTAATCAAGATAGAAAAGGATTTATGAATCCGATCTTATCAAAATAATTAAAATAGAAACTGATGGTATAAAAATCTTGTTGAATATTAAAATTTATTACAATTGTTCTCGTCAAGTGGCCTTATTTTAAGTGAAAACATCGAAAAAAAAAATACGTCCGCCCTCGTAAAACGTCGATTTGACTTATTATTTTACATTGAAAAACAAAAAATATTCTTCAGATCGAGGTAGGCCGAGATTTTTTTTTATGATTTTCACATTTAAATGTTTGCTCATTGTTAAATTTACCAAAAATATAGTTATATCCAAGGAACTATAGGTTGAAAATCGAAGATTTAAAAAAAAACAAGCAAACTAATTGTAACATGGTGCAGGCATAAAAGTTGATTTTCATGGGTCATTTATGAAAAAGTTGTTTTGCTTTCAAGAAATCCTTAACAAATTCATAAGGTTTTAAAATGGGTGTTATGAAGAAAACTTGCAGCCTGAATTGTATTTATCTAAAGCCATTTTGCTTGATCCTAACCCGATCCGATTCATGGCAGCATTTATGGAGGCAAAGTTGCCTGCAGAAAGTTAAACGTCAAAGTTTGTTTATCTTTCTATATTTACTTGCGCTGTGCGATCCAGGATTCTTCCAGGTAGTTTTCTCCCGATGGATTGGGAGCAGTTACTCAGATAGTTTGCGATACTGTTTTGCAACATTGCGCATTTAGAACAGCTGGAAGCGCAATCGTTCCCGAAAAAGATCCTCTTCTTCCGGATGGTTACAGAAGTGCACCATCCAACGATGCAGGGATGTACGCTTGAATGAAATTTTCGTAGAGTTCATTCTTTCGTCGAGTAAAATCGCTGCTATGGATCGGAAACCAACTAATCTCTCAGCGAATTTGTTTATTATTCAATTCCAACCTGGATCGGGTATCAAGATCGGTCTGCTTGTTTTCTTGCAAACGTCAATTTGATCGTTTGTTTTTAAAACCAAGCTCAGGTTGAAGTTCACACTGACAAAAAGTTCGGTTTCGCACTGGGTTGGAACTGGTTCCAACCCCGATAGTAAACAAATTCGCTATAACAGTTTCAGTGGTTTGCTGTCGGTTGTTATTTCGATTGTCACCTATTCGCAAGATCTGAAGAAGGCTGGTATGTTTTTCAACTTTCGACAATGTTTTATGATTTCGAGGGCCCACTCACTTTACTCTTCTCTGCCAGATGGTCAGTCGTTGATGATATGCTGGTTCTTCCAAGGAAGTAAACTTTGCTGAAAACGACTTGAATTTTTCATCCTACTTCGTCTATCCTTCGAGATTTCCTTGTCATAAATTTGGCTTTTATTAACTATAACGAACCATCTTTTAAGCTCAATTTGTAAACAGAGTAATTGGGGAGTTTATGATGCACTTTAAAAAGCCTAAAAAGCAACAATAAATGCTTTTTGCTCTAATGCAAAACCTTATGGTTTTATGGTTGCTTTTATAATGATAGAACACGTTTATAAAGTATTTTATCATGACATTAATAAACAATTGCTAATGACGTTTATGTTTGAATTACAGAGCAGTTTTAAGGAGGGATTGAGAACTGTTTTAAATTTATTTTTAAAACAAGACAGTTTTTGACTTTTGTACCAGGCTATAAAACAGCAAAAAGCTGAATTACTAAGCAGGAATGTTTTACACTTTGAAATGCTGTATTTATACGAAATGGTTTGTTCATTGCCGTTATAAAACCATCATAAATCAGAGTGGATGCCAAATGGTTACTGAATTGTTACTTGGGTAGAAAGACATCGATCTGTCAAATTGATTATACCTGCTGTAAATGTGAAGGGAATCAAGGGGGAAGTCAATTCTATTTTTTATGTCCGGGAAACTAATTAAAAGTAGTGATCGTGGTGGGAATAAACTTAACCGAAATAAAAGTCCGTGTTCACAGTTGGAGGTATCACAAGCAAGTGCCGTAACCAAACTTTATTCCTTTCGCTTTACAACTGTCAAAAGGCTCACAGATCAACTGAGTCATTTTTCGCTCTCCCTTGCTTAACGCTTATAACGCTTTTCGCCCGCACGCTCAAGGCAGATACCTCAGCTCTTCCCCCTTGGAAAGATTCTTGTCAGTTAAATTCATTATTTTAATTTAGTTCCCTAATTCACAACATTAATGCCTTAATAATTTTAATCAGAATGCAATCCAAATTACAATATGCACAATTAATTCAATACACAAATTCTTCGTCAAACTTTTCCTTCCTTAATCTCTTAGAACGCCTTGGAGCCAGATTCGATGGCGTTTCGATATCATCTGTCGAATTTTCGACCACGTATTTCCGTTTACGCCCACTCCTGATTTCAGCTTCCGAAAATCCATTGAATTCTTCACTGCTTGCTCTCGATTCCATTTCAGATTGCAGCTGTTGCCGGCCCCACTGAAGGATCGGCTCCTGGAAGTAGTTTTGATCCTTAATCAAACGTAGCTGCGCTCGGTGGGCCATTGTTTGC